ATCAAAATGCGTCCTTCTGTTACTAACTTTTTAGTAAGCATCATATTCAAGTCAAATTCTATTGGAGAATAAGTAATCGACACTCGAACGCAGGTGCATCAGGGATGCAGCAAGAAACTTGTCACAATGTACGTGAAATATAACAAAGGTTTTGTTTATGAGATTCCCCTTTCTTGTGGCAACTCGTTCATAGAGAATACCGGGCACTCTAATAATAAACGGGTTAGGGAGCTTTAAATTAAATCTAATGAAAGATGGCTTGATGCATTTCCTTATGCTTTGTAAAGCCTACGGGTGTGTACGACGTTTTATCGAGGCTATGATTCTAGGTAGAAGTAGGTATATAACTGCGCGGGAGTGGATGAACGCCTATTACATTAAAAGAAAGATGAGAGGTCAGCGAACCATCGGTGGCATTCTAGGTATCAGAGAAGAGATTGTTTGATAGGTGGATAGCCTAAGGCTGTGTGAAGACTGCGAATGTGTGTATGTTGTTACTTAAGTGTGAGTTTGCGCCTGGTCTTTTTTAGTTGAAGGGCTGCTTGTGTTTGTCGTTGTGTGGGTTGGTTTACTTTGTGTTTGTGTTATTTGCGGCCAAAGCATAATAATTAGCAAGTACCAACTAGGTCAAAATCAGTATTGTTCGTCTCTGTAGGTTATATCTTCAGAAACAACTATGTTTTTATTTATGTATAACGAGTGCTTATGTCCTCCTTCATTCAAAAGCACGCGCACGTGCAACTGCACTGCTCTGGCCTTGGAGGTGGCTACCTCCACGGCCGGAGCACTACGATTACAGTGACTACAACAACAACAACTACTACTACTACTACTACTACTACTACTACTACTAATACTACTACATACATCGCGGACGCACGACCCATGGCTTAAGAAGCTTCGCCTCTAGAACTTCTTCGCAATAAATATGAAGCATACACATTTCAGGCATCATTCTTCATCGTCGTCAGCCACTGCATAAAAAACTTCAGAAAATTTTTAGCAAGAGTCTAGCGGATACCATGCTTCTCTGAAAAATAACGAAGAATAGCATGGTGAATACCTGCCTACTACACAGACATTATCATTAATTATGGCGTAGTGAATACCGAATAAGTTTGCTTGTGGCACTTGTCTAAGCAGTGTTTAGAAACGGCTCTGAAATACCACTTTATCAGCTTTTGCTGCGACTGTGCTGCGGGATCCGCACAGGCCAGCTTTGTTTTTGTGTTTGATCAGGCCAAATTTCTTGTTCTTTCACAATTTTGGAAAAACATGAAGGCTGTTATTAGCAATAGACCGGAAACCACGCATGCCTTGGGGCATGCGTGGTTTCTGGTCCATTCCATCCAGGGGGCGTCTGGATTCGTTCTTTTTTGAATAATTGTATTTTATGCTTCGCGCGATTTGCTCTTCCACCTGTAAAGACGATGATTTCGTAGCAATCGTATACCGCTCATTTGCATCTATCTCTAGAGTCAATGGTCTATGAGCATACTTTTGATGTGTCTGCATGCTATGAGTAATGTTAGGAAATTTTTTTGCTGGTTCTGGAAAGATAAGTCTCAAGCTTTTGGTTCCGTTGTATTTCAAATCATGATGACACCCTTTTTGCTTAGTGAAAATGATGTTCCAACAAATTTATGCTCTCTTTAAGTAAGCAATGTGACTTCCACGTTCTTCTAAACCGTTTTGGCCCTGACGTCCTTTAAAAAAATCAGGAATACATTTTGCTACCATGCGACTTAATAAAGTTAGAAATTGAAAAAAAAGATATCCGAACTATCCTCAATACACCTGCACAAGCATAGGTAGTAATTTTTTGTCTTCGTATTTTTTGGAACTACACAGAGCAAAAAAAAAACTGCGAAATGCGATTATGATGACACTCGCCACAACCAAACAGAGAATGGCACCTTACTGGTTAACTAATAAATCAGTAGGTGTATTGTTTCGTGTTGTTTCTAAGATATTTAACTTGCAGTTTTACAAAGTGGGTCTTCGCTAACACTAACATATTGCCCACAGCAGTGGACAAGCTCCATGTCTCAATATAAGACATGAAGGCTCAGTAATTGTCAGATCTCTTAATGCATTCAGGCTAATCCAGATATAGCTCTTCTGAAGCTCGCAATTTTTTTTTGTTTTTCTTGTCAAGCTACCTTCACAAATTCCTTATGATGTCATCCTATGGCAGATTCGGAGAACTTCCGGTAATAATATTTCTGTTCTGTACGAAGAAAGTTTTTTCTACTAGCAGATTGAGAGTGCTTCCTGTCTCTTTCATTGCAAGAACTGGAGGAGCTCCGTCGCAAGATCCACTCTACGGAGCAACTTTTTCTGATCCGTGAAAATTGGTGGATTACTTCGGAAGCGGCAAGCGCTCTGAGACTTCAAAGGGTGCCAATTTGGGGAGCTCCAGCGGACGGTTCTCCCATCGGTTGCACCTCGCTTCGGAGCCCATGTTTGGCTATCGTAACGTCGCCACCTGTGTGCCCACTCAAGCAAGAAGAGGGACGCGTGTATCGTGTTCCATTGGGACCCTGCCATATTTTCCAGAGGGAGCACGTGTGTTCCATTGGTGGATTCCCCCCCTGTTGCCCTCCGAAAGAGTGGAGTGCTCCGGCGCTGAGCTCGTCAGCCACTCCAAACCCACCAATCGAGAACACCATTACGTAATATGTAGGGGTGTCGCTAACAGCGAGATAATAGCTAATGAATTTTTATTCCTTTTATGAAATATGAATATGGTGCATGATAGAGCTAGAAGAAAGTGACGATGAAGTGTAGTACAATGAGCTTGCCCTTGCAAACATGGGCGGTAATAATTCTGGCGCCGCAAAGCAGGATTCAGCATTTATTATGAGGTTGGGTCATCCAAAGTGTTCAACAAGTAGACGGTGGCCACTCAAGTTCAATGAGAAGAATGTTTCACGATCACAAATATTACTATTGGACAGTTTAGGCGCTGTAACTAGTACACGATTGCTGTATGTTAGTTTCACAACGATAACTTGCACTAAGAGGGTCGAATGAATAGTTGTGTTTAAATTCACCTTAATTTACTTTACAACCACAAAGCCTTGGTGCCCTATATATAGGACATGATATTTTTTCGCTTACTGATGGGATGCTCAGAAAAAACATCTTCGTGATCTTCAGTTTCCAGTAATTCTAAATCAACGAGAAACTAAAATGTCTGCCTCTTAAAAATGGAGGGCTTGAAGGCTTAAACAACATCATTTGTTTTCTGCCGTCGAGTGGGCTAGATGTGTGTTTCTAGAGAATGACGCGGTGAGGTTGCAAGAAAACTCACGTTTTTTTGGCAATCATAGAGCAACCAAAATATTTAGGGTGCCAGCTGTAAACTCTTGTAAGAGGCCACAACTGAGCCTTTGATTATTTTGCTTATATCGCTGAGAATTCAGTAGATATGCATCAGCGCATTTTCGGTATATTACTCATTATTATTATGCGCCTGCTTTGTTTTGACAGCTAAGTAGCTTTTTATAGGCATAGAGCTTTTGCGAACTTCACAAGACCTTGTGTACATCATTCGCATAGGTAATAATAATGTTAAAGCCACCAAACTAACATTTTCGTAAGCTAACCTACAAGCCACGTGAAAGCCGCCGTACAAAAGTGTTAAAAATGGCTTGAAGACAGTCACACTCCAGGAAGAGAAGCGTGCCTCACAAAACGAAACATAAGTCACCTGATGAAGATACGTCGGCGCCTATGAGAAAGCTGACCCGAGCTAGAATGTAAGTTCTATAACTGTTGCAAGGCCACAGGAGATGAGCTGGCTAGGTGCAGAAAGTTTCTCGGAACTTTTACCGGGACTCACAGAACATCTTGGCTACGGGAATTGTAGACGTCTGTTTCGGAGATCCGTTGTATAGAGTAGTTTTCTCCTAGTGCTGTACGCATGTACAAGATGACAGTCACTGGTGCCTTCAGTTCACGTTAAAGATGTCCCCCCTCCCCCATGCTTTCTTTTCTGGGTGCTAAGCAGTGGTGTTATAAAAGTAATCAGGCACGTACTAAATTTCTCACAACAGCACAAATAAGCGAGCTTTGGAGTTTAAGATTTCTGTCAGTTGCAATGCGCTGAGCACAACTGCGCAGCGACGCCAAAGCGGTAATAAATGCTCCCGCCCCTCGTTAGGCACTGATGTATTGTACAGGATCTACTTCCAGCCACGGTCATTACCATTCGACGAGACTACAGGATATTCAATAAGGTTTAACGTTTCTTCCCCACACTCGTTAGGAGCTACCTAAGGTCTGGTAGGAATGATGTAGCCCCACGAAGCCCAAATATATGTGGCTGCAGTGACTCTTTGTTGGGCGAAACGGCTGCAATCTTGATCTCGGCTGACTTGTTTGGCTTGAGCGACTTGTCACCACTGCTACGGACGCATATGGTGCAGTAGTTGCAACAGCCGTTGATGATCCAGTTTCTCAAAAAAGAGATGCTTGAGACTACTTTGTTGGAATGACTCAAAGTGCTGCGAAACCACGCAGTTGAGGTGTCGCGGAAAAAGGCGTACCCATGGTGCTCAAAGAAGTACGAGGAATCAAAAAATTTCCACATAGACCTTCAAAGGAACGCTGAGGTCTGAGAACGGCTTTATGGTGCCTCAGCAAGCAAAAAAAAAGAACCATTGACGTCACTCTAATTTGATCTTGTGTAACTCGTACACATTTTTTATACTCTACAATTAGGATCAAAACGCTGCCTCTGTGTTGTCTTGAGTGTATGCAAGTGTAGTTGTCTTCAACGGCTGCGGCAACAAAACATAACTACTTCAGGCCACAACGCCTGGCAGTGCTATGTGGTAACAATAGCTTTTCATCTCCGAGAAACTTGCAGTGTTAAGCTTATTCCTTACCTTGAATCTGAATTTGATTGAGATAATATTGTGCATGTTTCGAGTACATTATTACCGTGAGAAAAGACCTCAATAATAAACAAATATTCATACGGCTTTGCTTACCTCACATACTGTCTAATGCTTTTCTGGCTGCATGGTGATAGCCGAAACTTTCTTAATCCTCCATCCACATAACTCATCAGATATCCATCAGCCCACGGGCACTCAGGCATTTCGTCATGGGGCGACCCTAACCTGGAAGAAAGTTGGAAGGGCATTGTTAAAATGGAAACCATATAGTCATCGGTGTAGCGTGCAATGGCACTTACGTGTGGGCAAGCTCGTGTGCAAGGGTATCCACTCCGTTGTATGACAAAGCTGTATCTTCGCCCTCACCCATTGCCATATGCGAGCAAACTGTGCTCATATATGCCCTTCCTGAAATTGTTTCAAATTAGGGCTGTTTTACAAAGCTTGTTAGTGCAGTAAAGTGAGTACAGTGCAGAAGTTCACATAAAATTTTGTCATAAGTATATACAGGGGGCAAAGTTTGGTGCCACCACTAGTGCATTGAAAGATACATGATCTGTCAGACATTTGCCTAAAGTAACTTTATGGCAAATGTCATCGTGTTGGTTTTGTTTCAGTGAATCTTGTTGCCACGCGCGCTTCTTTTAGCGATTTTGTTAAGCCGATCTGTTACACCCATAACTACTGCCTAAACGAAGTCTGAGCATAGAGTTTTAAACAACAATTCCTTGGCTGGAATCTGGCGCTAATGTAAACGCACGCTCCATCAGCGGCGCTCGTACCCCCACGAGAAATATTAGAAGTACGGGCTTTGAATCCGCTTCAAGTGAATTACGTTCTATAGATTCGTGACGCTTCTTTTCTGAGTGTTAAACAAAGTGATGTGAACTTAAATTTAATGAAAACTTGCTCAAATATATATGCGCAAATTTTATTGCAAAAAGTATTTGACGAGGCGGCGAAAGTGAAACCTGGATAAGTTCAACTATCAGGCTATTAATCGCTGTGCAATTGCGTTCAAGATTCGACATCAAGATTTAATGAAATAATTTTGACAACACTTGAAAAAAAACATGCTCGTTTTTCTTTTGAAGGTATGTATCATCTATTTGTAAAAATTACAGTACAGTAATAAATGAGAAACACTTATTGTTTCATCTTCTGCGACGCTAGGTGCGTCTGTCCTATACTCGGCGACAACTTTTTGGCACTGAATGGAAAGCTATGGAGCCTAATCACGTGCATTCTACCGGCAGTGAAAGTAGTTCCTAAGTAGCGCCTGTAATTTGAAGAGGAAATATAAATGTTCCTCCTTTATTTTCTACGTGGAGCTATTTGAGACAAGACCCAGCTCACACCTGTAAACTGTTCGTATTTCTTTTATTCTATCTGTTGTTATATCGCGTTTTTGAACGCGTGGAAAAGTTCGGCCTTTTCACGTGCACCTCAAACGCTAAGCGGCGTCTGTGTCTACATAAAACGCTGATGGTGCACCTCCGTCACTTCCCACAGCGTTATGAGACGCACGCCAAAATGAACTATACTTCGCGTATATGTATGCAGAAGTTCTGCCTCCATAGCCTTCCCTTCAGTGCCAAGAAAAGTTTTAGCCGAGTTTAGTGGTTCCTGTGGTCTGCCCCCAACGCACGTCTGGTTTTCTATTGAAGTCGAGTCAGTAGAGCGTGGCGGTGCGTTCACTTAGATTTGTGTTTGTTTTGCAGTTTATTGAAAACAACTTCAGGCAAGATGCTCTCGTGAAAAACATGAACTCGAGGCAATATTCTGCACTGGCTAGAGACGCTACAGCTATGTGCAGTTATAAGTAGACGACGATTCGTTTAAACTGTCAAATCTGACGCGTAAAGCTCTAACGTCCCAGCAAATCAGATCTCGTGGCCTTCAGCTTTTTTGAACAAAGGCTCTGCTTCAGCCCTGTTCACCGCACCCAGCTACCTGTGTTGCGCAAAGAACGAAACTGAAAGTCTAGAAAAATGTCCGTAGACAGTTCACTGGCGAACCTTATCGAATACGAAGCCTGTATTTCTCATAATTTCTATGAAGGGACACGATCGCAGCGCCAGATTTCTTCCTAGCTGTTATTGTATGCAACTCTATGAAACCCCCGTGTCTGGGAACTTCCTATACTTCTTCATATTTCTTTACTAACCCTAAACACACAGAATTTATGTTGAGACTTCAAAAAAAAACATACACGGAACACACAACGAGAACTGTAGACTTCTGCAAATATCACGACCACCAACAATAGGGTCAGAATTTTCGTTGCCGTTTGCATAAAAATGCCGACGCCCTTTTTGCAGATGAGATAGATTATCGATGTCCAATGATGTGAACTCTGCTATCAGCGTACAGCGTATATTGCTCAGCCATAACTTTTTTTTTTTTTCGCACGCATAAGTACACCCACAAAAAATTATTTTATTTTGATATTCCGAGTGCCGTCTTGTTTAGTAACGAGCAGGTGACATCCGGTGGAGGGGCTGGTTCCTTCATGTTCGCGACGCACACAGGAAGTCACGAACCAAAGTCACAGCGTCAAAAAGAAGACGCCGAAGCCCTGCTGCATTACTGAGCTGGCCGCAGGCTTCAGTAGTTGTTTGCGTAGTACAAACTCCTCCGCTATAATACAGCCATAGCTAGAAATACTATATCCCTACAACATTGTCGCTGATTACAGTCATGGTGTAGAAGCCCATAGAGCCGGCGTCTGCCCGTTGGTCACGGTTTGAAGACCCTGCAAGCTTGTGTGACACTCACGACCTTGTCACCTTATTTAACAACTGGGTGATTCCACGAGAAATCGACACGGGTCCAAAAGTTGATATTTTAGATTTGATTGAGTATTTTATATTTCATGCACCTCTCACCAAGTAGCCCGACAGTCAACTTCGCTTTATGATTAACGGCATAACTTACGAGAAAAAAATATCAAACTTCACCAAAACGGAGGCGCTACTTATATAGAAGTATAGTACCAAAACGGAGGCACCAATTTCGTCACCTGCCATTTTCGAAAATTGCAGATGCTATAAAAAGACAAATATTTTTGTTTCAAGGAAGATATTTTTTAACTGAAATGCATGTTTAATGAAGAATGAATTCATACCGTTTCAAGTTTGTAGACCTTAAAAAAATAGCTTTTAAAAATGTCTAATTTTGCGACAGTTTAAAATAAGTTACGTATTCCCCTTTTTTTCTCCAAAAGTAATTCAAGCAGCGTTTTGAAAGTTGACACGTTTTAATAATATAGTGTGTTCATTAGGTACATAAATTATTGCTGCCGTAGGGCAAATGTAAATTTTTATATATTGCCTCAAATATCTTATATTAGTTAAAGTGTACTCCACTGAAATTTGAATAATATAAAAAGCGTATGTTGGGCTTTTCTCAAAATCTCGTAAATAGACAACCGAAGGCCATCATACAGTAATATAAAAAAGCATGTTGCATTATTCTGTTTTTAGCGACAATATTCGTGGTACAAATCAGAGATTTTCGAGAATACGCTGATAAGTTTAGAAATCTACGAATTGTAACGGAAAAGGGGCAATAAGCTTCAAACGCGAGTAATCGTGACCGCATTTGGTGAAGAAAGGCTTTTTTATCAGATAGGAGTAACTGTTTCGAACACGGTATTCCAAAGTATCTGAATTCACTCTTATACGTAGAGCACAGAGACTTCTAGTAAGTGGCGCCTCTCCATTACTGACACACAGATGGAGCTGCTGTGATGGCCATGTGTTTGCAACACGTTTGGTAAGAGAATTGAATGTTGAATGAGTTCATAAACAATTCATAACAAATTTTTATCATTTGGGGCACGAAGACTGCCGCCTTAGACTGAAGAACACGCTTCAGGGCAAGTTGTCATCCGTCGTCTGCTCTACAGATGAATTGCTGTGCGCCGCATCTCGGAGGCAATGCTTTAGATCATGAATCAAAGTATGGACAAAGATTACGCCTTCCGTAAGGTTATCGACAAAAACATTGTGAAATTAATTTTAATGTACTATACTTCAGTTTTGCAATCGCACTGTGGATACTTGCGCACATGTATCCACAGTGCGAATCCACCAGCAAAACCGTCGCTCCCCTCCCCTTTCTCACCTCGCATTGCCGAAGCAGGCAGCGCCTCCTATTTATCAAAAGCGCTTCTTCGTGCTGCATAACCGTTCTTTGGCCACTTTGTAAATGTAGGCAAATGTTGGTACGTTCGGGGTTCCGTCACGGGAGTCTTTACTTTGCTTTTTGTTGACGTTGAAAATAATGCTTCTTCATTCGTTAGATAAAAAAACTAACGACGATATTACAAATAAGCTTTCCTAAATATTTCCCCAATACACAACATTCAAGCAATACCATCCCGTTATGCGACGCATTTACACTAGTTCTCGTCATAAAAAGATGTAGGAGGCAACGGTTTTTTTTTCTGATCTTATTTTTATACGTCATTGCCAAGATGCAAGCATTCAAATAAAGTCTTGATAAACACTGGCATCAAACACTTTCGCAACAAAAAAAACACAGCCTATCCGAGGAATGAATGATGATGAGTGGGGCGAAGCGTCCATCCATCCGTCCGTCCGTGCGTTCATCTGTCCTTTCATTTGTGTGTGCGTGCGTGCGTGCGTCTGTCTGTCTGTCTGTCTGTCTGTCTGTCTGTACGTCTGTCTGGCGACAAGCACAAGCTGCCGTGGTTCTCTGCGCCTGCCACCCTTCTTCGTCGATCTCCTACCAACGATCCGACACGTACAGTGACGATCTAGAAGACAGACAAGCACTCGTTTCCCACGCACACAAGCATAGCCAGCGCGGCAGCCGATCGGAAAGTAGCGGTACAGCACCATTTAGCATATTCTCACTCAACTGCAGTTTGTATGTACTTCTATAAGCCGCCGCCATACATTATACTGTTCGGGAGATATGCCAGTTTCGCCTGACTCGGAACAAAGTTAGATTATGAGAAGCTTTGCTTGTAGAAGATTGTGGCAGCAGCCTAACTAGCACTGCCTGATCCACAAACAATGAGCTATGCTGCTGCAGTACACCGAACCCTTCCCTCTTTGTGGCCACGTGAAGACGACGCACCGTTGCGCTGCCGTCGCAAGCGACCGCCAGAACTCCGGGTGTCATACAACATCCACCTGTTAACCACCGCAACGCGTCAAGGAAAAGCGAAGTACCGCGAGCACTTCACAACCACCACTTCTTTTGCCGCTGATGCCAATGTGACCATGCCAGCGCCACTGCCAGTACAACCAGATACGGCAGCACGGCTTCCTTTCAATGTGCTGCATTCGTAGCATGGTAAGCGGCCCCGCGACATCACCGACTCCCTTTTAGAAAATTGAGCCTCCTGTTTCGTAGAAAAAGGAGTTTAGTAGCAA